TGAGGAGGAGGCACTATCAAAATGTAGTCAAGCGGAAAATATGGTCAGCACTAGGGCCGATGGCTGCTTTAAAACCTTGAAAAGAGAGGTTAGTGAACCAAAGGCAGTCTTTTTTAAACCTTTAAGCCCCATTATATACATACAAATTCTCCAAACTGATCTCTATATATTTCCTTAAAGAATGAGTTGAGAGAATTTGACAAAAAATCAAAGCATTTTCTCTTAGGTGATCATTTTATTAATTCTCATAACCTAATCTCTTGACAATGTATGGATATCATTGGGAGAAAATTGATGTTGGTCACTATTGGGACTTAAAGGGTTAATTAACATATTTACACCTTAGCAGCTTGTAATCCCCCACATGAAACTGTGGACACTGTCAGTAGGGATGCTGCTAAGAGCTGACTGCCGGCTAATTTTGCTGGCTGAAAAAAAACCTTACCACTGCCTCAAATAAAACCGGAAAACAAGCACATTGGGTAATTTTGTTAGTGCAATTGAGTAAAAAAGCTGGCTTGACAAATGAAGATGCCTGGGGCCGATTTAATGAAACTTTTACAAGGGTAATTTACAAGTGTAGCCATTGTTTTAAAGTCTGGGAACAATAGCCACACTTGTAAATTACGCTTGTAAAAGCTTTATTAAATTGACCCCTGTGTAGCTTTTCCTTGGCTACATCCCTGCATCAGTGGTCATTAAATTTTCTTCCCACTGCAAGTTAAGCACCAAAGTTAGAGATCTTTTGTGTTCATTATGCAAGGCCCTTTTTTACATCTAAATTTCTTCTTTTGAGCTTCAAGGAGCCCTGTCATGACATATTATTTGAATGGCATTCCCAACTAAGAAAACTACTTAACAAAACAAACAAAATCTTAAAATTTTAGGTTGTTAAAGAAGGTAAAAATTAAAATGGTGATAAATAGAAAATGACTATGGATGGTTTTGATGAGAATGGGATCAACAGCAGCCTAGGGTGTTTGTTGCAAAAACATGTTGTAGCTTTTTTCAGTATTGTGACAAGTACAGTACTTGCACCAATGTGAACACTTCTTTTGTACAAGTACCCAGGCTAGAATTTGGGTATGCTGCCCATGCCTGAAAACAAGGTGCAGAACATTTACTCAGGCACACAAGTGGTCACTGGTTCCCTGTGTGCACACTGTTTTTATTTCAGTTCTCGGGCAGTCTACTGCTAAGCTCATGTTTCAAAATGGTGTCCGACAGGGTGAAGTAGGAACTATGAACATAGTTACATCTTGGGAACTCAAAGTGTGAACCAAACACCATTTTGTACTGGTACTCAGGCAGGGGTTCTCAGGAACCAAGTGTGGACAGCCCCTTAGTAAGTCTGAACTGCTATGACATACTCCCTGGTAATGTGAATCAGCTTAAATTGTTTGAATGAGACTTGTCATTTTACCCCACAGCCTGGACCGCCCCACCATCCACACCATCACCACCCTCATCATTTCTTCATGCAACCTCAACAGGGTCTGTGGCCCCATGTTCAGTCTCATAACATGGTAAGTAACCTGGTGCATTGAGTTTTCTTTTGTCGTTAAGTGGAAGTGTGTTGTGAGTGTTCTATCACCTTTTCCCCCGAGAGAGGTGGAAAAATGAACCCCTGGGCTTCATTGTTCAAAGCTGGGTTAAGAGAACCCAGAGTTGGTGTTTAATTTGAATTTAGATATGAAGGCTTCAAAAGCAAATTCAGTTTAATTCATTTTGCCTACAATTTTTATATTTGATAGTCTAAAAGGATTAGAGGAAATTATGCAAGAATATGCTTTTGAACAAAAAAAAAAGAAACGAGACTTAAATTTAACCCCGGGTTAGCACTAATCACAGTCTGCAAACAACCGGGCCCTGGGCTGGGTTGCTCAATCTGGGCCAGATAACCCAGGGTTTGTTCAAAATTTGAAGTCACATAATTATAAATACTTACAATGTAACTTCTGTTAAATTGTTTGCAATTTGAGGATTGGTTGTTTCTAAAAAGAACAGAGAAAATTACAAAGAAAATGCTTTTAAAAAAGACGCAGAAACCCAGATTAACATTTAACCCTCGGTTAGTGCTAATCTGCCTGCAAAAAACTGAACTGTTTTTGTTGCTTGACACTCACTACCTTCTCATGCTTTGCATCAACTTTTGTACTTGCTTCACACATTTGTTAAATGAGAAAATGAAAGAATAAAGTGTTGTGGGTATTGCTAAATTAATGGGGACTTTAAGATCCTATTCAAGGAATGTCCACTTTAAAAGCCTTGTACTTTTATAATAATTATGTTAATGTTGCACATATTCTTTTGCAGAATAATCCCTATCCTCCTAACTGGTTTCGCATAGCGTTTGGCGATTCGTCTCAAGGTTATTTGTTACAAGAGGTATAGTTATTATTGTTTTAGGTTACTGTTTTGTTTGGCAAAAGTAGTGTGCTATGTTTCTTCTGTTTATTAGGCCACGTTTGGTGGTTTGACCATCATGTAATTGTAAAAGGCCTTTTGCAGCTTGTGGTCCCTTGACTTGCTTCATGCGAACATTATGGGATACAACTTACATAAAGCCAACAATGGAAGGAGGATGAAAAAAATGAGAGAAGCCAATTTTGAGGTGTCTGACACAAGAGACATAGGTTTTATGGCTTTTGGAACTTCTGCGAAATTATTAGGGTTTGTATTGGAAAATATTGCTGGACCACGAGGCTTGTGGTCCAGGGAGTTTTTCTACTGATTCATAAAACCACCAACTCCATCATTTACTCTGGGAATGGAAAGGTTGAAACCCAATTACTGTAAGACCTACTATTTTTGTTGTCTCCTCTTTTAAATTTATGGAATATCGGTTGTGACCTCATCCTGTAAAGGGCTTATCATTCATGTACTCTTCTGGAATTACCACATGGTCAGCCACTAATATAACAGTACTGCCAAAGAAGTTTCACTTGAATGGTTATGGCACTGGATTTTGTTCAGAATAGAGAGTCAAAACAGCATCTTACCATTTTTACTTACTCCACGACTGAGAGGATTATAATAATTTTACTAATATTTGGTTTTGACTTTTTAGGTTCCAGTTAAAGTTCATCTCACATTCCCGTCTAAATTTGCTGGCCCAATCATTGGTAAAGGGGCATCAAACCTTGATCACATAAAGAAATGGAGTGGTGTGAGTAAAGTCCATGTCTTTCCTAAAGATCGAGATGCTCCTGATGTTCATCTCACATTCCCGTCTAAATTTGCTGGCCCAATCATTGGTAAAGGGGCATCAAACCTTGATCACATAAAGAAATGGAGTGGTGTGAGTAAAGTCCATGTCTTTCCTAAAGATCGAGATGCTCCTGAGAGATATATTGAGATCATTGGAACTCCTTTCCAACAATACTTTGTAAGTAAACTTTCTACTCTTCAAAGTGGAGTCCCTTCCAAGTCTTCTTTTCTTTTTACTTCATTTCCTCGAATAAGCGTCCAAGTACTGATTTAAAATTTTGGCTAAAAGGAGGGGCACTTATTGGGAGGAAGATGCTTAAGTGAGGGGTGCACTTATTACTTTTACTTTCAACGAATTGTAAATTTATTTTTGGCTAATAGAAAAACAAAAACTACATTATTACCCACGTTAATGGTAAGTCAGTATAAATGTCTTTCATTTGTTAAAACCATGGCTGGTAATAAGTAATGGTAACAGGACTGAGAGGAGTCCAATTTGGTCTGTAATCACACGAGTGATTAACAAAATCGGACGACCGCGTAGCGGGAGTCCGATTTGTTTAATCACGAGTATGATTACAGGCCGAATTGGACGACACAAAGTTCTGTTACCAATTAATCATAACTTTAACAAAATTTGTGATATAATAGGCTATTTTTTACATCAAAACACAAGAAATTCGACATTTTGTTTTGCTAGCATTGAAAAAAAAAGCCATTTAAGCGCGCGCTTGATGGCGCGTACTGTTCAATTACTTAGGCATGACGCGTACTGTCCTATTAAACTGTCCAATTAAGGCTGAAATCAGGGCAGTTGATAGCCAGTCAGATTTGACAATTTTGTTATAGTTATGATTAAACATACAATAGTACCAACACACTGTACACACATGTATTGGTATGCATGATTATAAAATATTTATTATCTCGTTATCATCATCAATTAATATTGATTCTCTCAGCAATATAGTGGAAAAAGAAAAAGGTTTTCCTTGTATCCCTACTATTTTATGTGGTGTGCACATGTTTGGGAGAGTGGGCTTGTTAGAGCATAGGCACCTATCCAAGGAAATAAGTTATATAGAAGTCAATAAGATGCATCTTTTCTAAATATTTTAATTTAATCCCTACCCTTTTATATACCCAGAACCTGAAAAGGTACTCATTTTGGGTGGAATCTCCCTGTATAGGCCATCACAGGGAGTATTCCCCCCCAGGGGGTTAAAAAAAAGTTTCTAAATTCAGTCTGTTAGCAACCATCCACGCGTTTGACAATCTTTAAAGAGAAAAAAAGGGTGTGTGAACAGGCTAGTAAGCAACCCACTTTTGCCAGTCTTCACAGGGATGAAGATTGTTCCAACTAAATTGATAAGAAATTGATAGTTCCACATTGTAACCTATGCCCTTACAGTAACAGATCTTTTTCAGTACCTAACACCTCTCTGGAATTCTTTACTGAAGAATTTATGCTTTGGTGGGGGCCGGAGATTTTCCCCGGCTACTAAGAGAGTGGCCCCTGGCTACTTTTATTGCAAAATAGAAGAAAAACAGATTCAAAAGAAATCCCTAGCCGTTTGATTCCCCACCTACTTGTTGTATTTATCCGGCAACTTGAAATCTTAGCGACAACCCTGTGGATTGTTTTAAACACAGTCAAAGACACATCTTTATTCAAAAGTGTTGATTAATATCTTTATGTGGAGTTTAGAATTTTCAGATTTTCTTATCAGATTGTAACACTTGTCTGAGACTCTTAAAGATCAACTTGAAATTTTGCACAGTTGATGATGTTACAGTTTCTTGTCTTGTGCCATGTAAGGACAAGCTGCCTAGGGGAGCTAAGGAGCACAATCTGTTTGCTTTCTTCTCCGTGAGCCCCTTTCCCTTAAATTCTTGTTGACCCCAACAGTGCACATTTCTGGATCATTTCCGTAGAGATTTCCATGTTAATGACCTTCAGCTTGTTTTTCAAATTCACTGGTACGGATTCTAATGTCTCCATTACCCCCATAATCACCTTTGTTCTCTTACCCCACATTTTTTAAATTTCTCTTTGCAAGATCTTATTAGATGATGATGATGATGATGATGATTATTGTTATTATTATTATTATTATTANAGATTTTCTTATCAGATTGTAACACTTGTCTGAGACTCTTAAAGATCAACTTGAAATTTTGCACAGTTGATGATGTTACAGTTTCTTGTCTTGTGCCATGTAAGGACAAGCTGCCTAGGGGAGCTAAGGAGCACAATCTGTTTGCTTTCTTCTCCGTGAGCCCCTTTCCCTTAAATTCTTGTTGACCCCAACAGTGCACATTTCTGGATCATTTCCGTAGAGATTTCCATGTTAATGACCTTCAGCTTGTTTTTCAAATTCACTGGTACGGATTCTAATGTCTCCATTACCCCCATAATCACCTTTGTTCTCTTACCCCACATTTTTTAAATTTCTCTTTGCAAGATCTTATTAGATGATGATGATGATGATGATGATTATTGTTATTATTATTATTATTATTAAAAAGCTTTTATTTAAGGCTGTAGTTTATCTCCTAATATCTTTCTTTTTCAGGCCCAACACTTGGTCTATTGCAAACTTGCTGAAGAGGGCTATAAAACAAGCACAGGCGAGAACACTGCTGAACTAAAACTGAAAACAGAAATTTTCATACCTTTAAAGGGAGGTAGCAAGGATCAGCCCAACATAATAGGAAGATTTATAGGCAAAGAAGGCCAGAATGTAAGTGTAACTCAGGGATGTAGCTATATAGCGCTTATACTTTTTAGTACTAAGTGCTTAGCCAAGGCTTTTTATTAGTCTAGACAGCTTTTTCTCCAACTTCACTCTCAATATTACCCTACATCTTCGTTTCCCAGAGCAATTTGGGCCGGTGGTAAGGTCTTTTTCACCTGGCTCTTAGGGACATCCCTGGTAACTCCAAGATACATATTTTGACAACATCACGTTAGTCAAAATTAATTTTGGGCAGCATTTCTTGGTTTTGTGAAAACTATCGTAGGTTAGCTATTATGTTGTGGTGTGGCCATTGTTCAGTGTTCTTTCAGTTTTTTTTGTATTATGTCATTTGGTGATCACACTCATCCGAAACACCAAGAAACTACCAATTGTGGTGCAATAAGTTGAAAAAGTACTGTGTAGTTTTAAACCAAAAGAGCTTTTTAGGTTTGCTTATTCCAGAGTGCTGATATTCCTTTGACTTTTGATAAAACAAGCATGAATTTTCACTGACTGGCTGATTTTTGGCAAGGGGGCATTTTTTTATCTTGTTCTTTCTGAATATCTAATCAGTCCCATAATTTCACACTTCTCTCTGTTATTATATAGAGTATACCAGAGGACTTGTTTGGTTTGTCAGACTAACAGGGATGTGATCGGATTTATGTCCTTCCTAAAATAGGAACTTTTTTATGGCCCTTTTTGTTGTCATAATTTATACAACTTGAGAAAAAGGGTTTAAAAAACCTTTTCACCTTTGAATTCACAATCAACTTATGTTTATTCTCGCTAAGCAGGGTATTTTTTATGTTCTCACAAGACTGTATTATTGTTTTGGAAGCTCATTTATCCCAACTTCTTGTGTCATCCCTTATTTTTGTGTTCAGGTAAAAACCCTACAGAGAGAAACAGGAGTTAAAATAAAAGTTTTACCAGTTAATGAAAACTCAGAAAACAACGAGGCAGTTATACTTATTGAAGAAAGTTTCGCTACTGGCCAGGTTAGTAATGCTGTTATTGAAGTTATCACTTGAGAGTTACAGTCAAGCCAGGTCAAGTATATTCCCCAAGATTCTATAAATGAATTTATTATTTACAAGTTGAATCCTTAAGTACCGTAAAATTCCGAAAATAAGCCCCTCCGTGTATAAGCCCCTCCAAAAATAAGCCCCCCAAACCGGTAACGCGAAAAACCCTCCGTTAAATCGCCCCTCCAAATATGAGCCCCCTAGGGGCTTGTACTTGGAAAATTGCCCTCACATACAAAGTAAAACAAAGCAAAAACGGTAAATTTACTTCCAACTATAAGGCTAGCCCGATCGATTTTGAAACGCAAATTTCCCTCCGTAGATAAGCCCCTCCGAATATAAGCCCCTCCAAAAATAAGCCCCTCAAAAGGGTCTTTGAAAAATATAAGCCCCGGGGCTTATTTTCGGAATTTTACGGTATTTTATATTTCAGATTTATCTCTGCATTCCTGCTTTTATAATAAGCAGTAAGTTCACATGCAAGGTAGCTCAAGTTTCTTGAGTTTGATCTAAATATCTGCAAAGCAATTTTATCCATTCAAAGATTTTTTGATCTGACCGAATATTGAGAAGTGGTAGCCAAAATTCAGATGCAGATTTGAATTTGATACCGGTGGCGGTAATGGCTAATGGATTCATTTGTCAAATAATTGATTTCTTAATGGAATCTATGTACGCTTGACCTGGCGTGACTATAAACAGGGATTAATAATGACTAAGACTGTGTTTTCCTACTCCGTTGGTTCACACGACTTTTGTTTTTATGATCACTATATTCTATCGGATGTTAGAAAAACCTTTGTCGTGACCCGCTTTGAGCCATTAGAGTTGGCCTTAATATGGTAGATATTTTGTTTGAAGGAACTGTGGTCTTAATAGACTTCCAAGCAAACAGTTTTTGTCTCAAAATCAAATTTTTAAGGAGTGAAGTGCCAGCAGAAGATTCTCGCGTGAAGCGTGCGACTCTCTGCAGGGTGGAGAAAAAAATTGTCTCTCAACGACGTTGTGTGCGCAATCAAAAGGACCCAAAAGAAGATTAACTACTGTTGATTTTTGCTGAAACAGAAAACCGTAAATGTTCGATTATAAGCCCTCTCATTTATAGGCCCATCTACCTGTAAACAAAAAAATACATCCGGTTACAAGCCACCTACTAGTTTGTACTGAAATGAATTCGAATTTTACGACGTTTTGAAGCTTAAAAAAAGCGATCAAATTCCAAAAGTGTTTTGAGCAGCACTTCTGTGTAGCTTGTTTTGAAACACTTTTTCCAGTCCGGTTAGAAAGCGCTTATCCCTAAATATAAGCCCCCCTAAAACCTCTGGTGAAGTTCTATGTAAGCCCAGGGCTGACAATCGGGAAGTTTACGGTATTTGGCCGTATTGGGTATTGGTAAGCTTGTATGATTTGAAGGAGCAGTCCCATGCTACTTGAAATTGATCCAGCAAAAGTGTTCATATCAATGCGAATGCACTAACCATGGCATGGTCTGTTGTTGGTTTTAGCGTGCCCAGATGAAAATTCTTGATTCTTTAGCTCATTGTCAATCTCCACCACCGAGGAGACACGCGCCATATAGCTGAGAACCCTACTCTTGCAGAATATATGTTTAGATGCCTGTTTACAAATGAAGGACTTATTTTCCGTCTGGTTAATTAACTTCTAACTTGACCGGCATCACTCTGGTATCTTATTGTATCTATTGGACCCATTCACTTACATCTTGTATTGGACATTCTATATTGGTATTGTCAGTGGCATGCCAGGTGTATTTTTGGTACTTGCTACTCGCTAATTGCTGCCAGCCCAGCAAAGCTCTGAGCAACTTTGTGGTGAATCTAAAGTACACTGCACGGTTTGGGAACTTTTTCAGTTGTTGTATTGTTCAAAGAGAAACAACCTATTTTTACAAGAGATGCAAATAAAACACATGCAGTGAAAAGGGTAATAATATCAGATTTCATCTAGACAAATCTGTGAATTTTACAATGACTGTATTTCAATGAATGCAGCGTTTTACTTTTGTGATCCTAACCTGTGGCTGGGTTAAACAATTTCTCTCTCTGCGACTGATGTCTTGGGGCATTATTTTGTGCAAGTTGTGTGTATGAGAATTATTTATGCGCAGCTTTGCATTTTAGAAGGTTCCTGCCCGTATAGAGCTTCTTTACTCGACTTACAGTCTCGGACCTGAAACTGAAGTTGTGGTGCCACAGTAGACTTTCCCCATATCAGTTGCTCACGGCTTTCACTAGGCACTACATTTTTGTTTGCACTAATGAAGCATTAAGTAATTTTGTGTACCATGATTGTAATTTTTAAAAAGGGGAATTTTAGTAAGCATGCTTGGCGATGCCTTTTTCCTCCCTGAAAGGGTGAAGTACTAATTCGTGCCAAATGGCAGGTGGATTAAGTCAGTTGTCTTTGTATTGCTACAGTAGTTGCTTCCTTAAGAAGCACTGTATTGTTTTTTCCTTTTTGCGCTTCTGATCTATTGATTAATTGACAGTTCACAGCACAGTAGTTGATAAATAATGATCATCAATCCTAGCACGGTGTTTATTTTCACTCTGGTTTGAGTTTGAGAAAAATTAATGTCATGTGTTTTTAACTCTTGCCGGTGTATAGACCATAGCCAAACAAGTTATGGCTCCTATCTATAGAGTGGTTTTCGTTTGAGTGTCGTAAAACCAAAACCAAAGTAATTACTCTGACCAATCACATAGGACACAGACAATACATTGAACCAATCAAAACTCGAAGTAATTACATGTGGCTGACGCAAAGCG